TGTGACCCATCCTGCACCACCACTGTGCTGTCACCACAGCCAGGGCTGGAAGAGCTGGGGAACAACCCACTGGGGGGGTCCTGCGCAGGAGAGCTGCACCCCCTGCCCAGGAAAGGCCTTTGCACCTCACAGGGAACCAAACCACAGTAGGAACTCATTATCCCCAGGTCTGCTCAGTGGTCCCTGCTCTGCGTGCGGGTGACAGGCGCAGATAACACACGTGTGTTTCCATTGGTGGTGACAGGCTGCTATTAGAGCTGTATCTCCTGGTATCGGTGTGTTTTTATTGTGGTGCAGCAGTGAGGGGTGTTGGGGGGCTGGTACAGGAGGACCGATGTGCTGTCTGTGACCTGCACCTCTGCTTTATTGTCTGGAATGATTCAATTACAGATATTTTGTGGCAGTAATACCCCAATGAATTCCTCCTCCTACCCTGAGCTGTCAGCTGGGTAATTAGAACAAATACACTTGAAAGCCCTCATATATTTTTTAAAAGCTTCGCCTCTCTCCTGATTGGGTTTCTTGATGGCAAATCCCCAATTTCAGGAGGTGGCCTGTGTAATCCAGCCAGGGGAAGGGGCTCATGTGAAGCTTGCATCTTCCTGTGGCACTGCCCTTCATTAGATGAGGTTTTTCAGGTGAGCTGCACCTGGAGCTGGGCCTGGCATTTGCCTAAAGGCTCCAGGAGGGCTTGGGTGGGTGCATGGGGGCCTGCAGGGGAAGAACGTAAATCCCCTTGGGGCACTGCATGGACCCAGGTGGCACAGGGACAGCCCTTTCGGTGCTTGTGCTGGACATGCCAAGCCAGAGGCATTTTGTGGTGGCTGAGGAGATAGTAATAGCAGATTAGCGATGTTCAAGAATCCTAGGGAGTTTATAAATTAGCACAGCAGCTTCTCCAGAGGCTTAGAAATCCACACCCACCAGGTGTCAGTCCCTCGTGTTGTGTAAGCACCATGGGAGCTTCTCTTCTGCTCAAGCCAAGCCCAGCCACTGCTTTTTAGTCCACAGTAAGGACAAGCCCTGTGGGCTCTGCCCACCTAGGTGGTGGCCAGGCCTTGGTTCCTGCATGGGTGATGGTGGTGGAAGGGAGGCACTAGCCCTACACAGAGAGACACTGGCTCTGAGGATGGTGCAATGTGGTTTTGGGACCTGCTGGGTGCATTGCAGATCCTGCTTTGTGGTGCTTATTTTCCACCCTGGGAGCATGAGCCAGCCTGCAGTCAAACTCCAAAGCAGAGGGCAGCACATGCTCTTCCCACCCCCTTGCTTATACTGATGATAATTGATAGGGGACCATATGTCACCACTGGTGGAACTAAAGCCTCATCCTAAATTCCCCCCCCATCTTCCAAGTTCATTTTGTTTTTCTCCCTGACATGGCTCCCTCTTCCCTAGCACGTGTCCCAGCTGCCATGCCTGGGGCTCCTCTCTTCCTCAACAGAACCTAATGAGGAAGTAACCCCCTGTTGTTCCTAAATCTGTTATAAGCTGCAGTGCATTAGGCTGCGATACAAGTTGTTGAGATCAAACCAACAGGTAAGTTGCAAGGCTAATGCACTAATGAACCATCCTAATTACAAGGGCACCACGAACTGATTCTTAGAAAGAACCTGCAACTTTCTCCCCACTGTTGATGCCTCAGCTGGTGGGTGGAAGCAGCTGAGGTCTGGATGGGGCACAGGAGCTGGCCAGCTCACCCCCTGCAGTGCTCTCAGGTGTCCATGGCTGGTGGAGCCGAGTGGCAGGGGCTCTGACACTGCTGCAGGTGCCTGGGCACCACCCGGGGAAGCTACAGCCCTGGGCCATGGAACACAGTAAAAAATCCCATCCCTGGAGACACCGAATTTGGTCCTGCTTGCAGATGGACAGGGGCAAGTGGAGGGAGCTATTAGAGCTGCAAAGCATCCGCAGTGCCCCCGGCTGGAACACGTTTTTCTGCCTCACCCCTTCTGCCAGCAGCAGGGCGATGAGCCCTGTGGTCCTTCTCAGGACCTTGGAGCAGCACGGGGTGCCGGCAGCGGCACAGGGACCGTGCAGTGCCACAGCAGCGGTGTCCAAGGATGTGAGCAGGTGCGTGAACTGAGGGCTGGTGCCCACGGCTCTGGGACCCCTGCGTGACAAGCTCTGCTTTCGGCTGGGGGGCT